TTGACCGCTAATTTTCAAACAATTAGATAATAACAATATATAACTGTTTTTGATTGTTTTTAAACACACACACAAAAAAAACAATTACTAAAAATAACTATAAATTTTTAAAAAGTAATTCATAAGACAACACACATATCAGTGCTTAAAGATATAGAGAGGTTAGGGATGTCAGTGTGTGTGTGTGTGTATGTGTTTGAAGGGGTTTAACCCCACATAAGTGTTTAGTTATGGGTTAATTGAAAGATGACTTATAATTAGTAGTATAGTATATACTGTATATATGGCTTATGTATGTATGTAGTAGTAGTAATAGTCAACGACATTGACATTAATGCTAGTTGTTATAGACGATGATGACAACCCATAGGAGTATATATATAACCTCTAATTGAACCTGGTCAACCATAAATCATCTTGGTAATCATGTAGATAATGTCAAATATAGATTGGTGTAGGCTATATATATTTTGTAGCTTATGTAGTCTGGGTACTACTACTACTAGAAACAATATGACACTATTAAAAAAATTAATTATTTAGGTTTTATAATAATATTTTTTGTGATAACTAAATTGCTATAAATTTTATAATTAATATATTATGTGTGTATATATGCTCTCTATTTAACATTATTAATCTACACTCCACTCACCCACCCCTTCACCGGGAGTGGGGTTTCTATGCCCAACCCCTGTATCTCATGTAAAACATTTATATATTGATTTTTTTTTGTGGCAAACATCTCTCTCTCTCTCTCTCTCTCTCTCTCTCTCTCTCTCTCTCTCTCTCTCTCTCTCTCTCTCTCTCTCTCTTTCAATCGTCTCAAACAAATTGTAGGCATAGTTTTGCAATTGAATGAGTGCTATATTTGTCAGATGTTTAGCTTATCCATCAATAATACCGTAATATATATATATATATATATATAACTTCATATTCATCCTAACCAGTATTCATCGCACATGTTATGTATGAGTGTGTGTGTGTGTATCGCACCGTTAGGTTAGGTTATAGTTAGTGCAGCCGTTTTTTTGTTGGTGAGTGTGTGTGTGTGTTGAATGTCTTGAGGAGATTTTTGAACGCCAAATCATGTTTTCATACTTTTATCTTATAAATAAAAAAATAAAATAACTAAATCCCTGTGCAATATATGACTGTCCATACAAAATATATTTTATTAAAAAAAAACCCTATAAACCTATAGTAGTATTTAGAGAGTATATACAAGTTTTTTTTTATTAGTATATTCAATGTAATATTAATGTATATAAAAAAATATTGGTTTTAATATGCTATTTGAATATTGAACTACTGTAATATATTGGAGGGTTTTTTTTTGGTGGTTAAGTGATAACGGGGTACGACTGTACTGTCGATGGGGGGAGAGATATATTTAGCATAGATTTTGTAGAAGAGAGGAGAGGAAAGGCGTTTTTTGTTAAACTGCGTGCACGTGTTGACTGAGATTCAAACGGCTCAACAACAACAAAAATTTCAAGTGCTGACTGATCTCACACTTTATATATATATGTAGGGTATATGTGCCCCAAATATATGATATCCCCTGATATTACTCACTAACTTATAAGTAAGTTTGTAAAGGCAATTACCACCCGGAAAGCCAACGGTGCTTCAACTCACTGACTGACTGACTGTCACCTAAATTTTCCGTCACTTATGTACGGTATTGTAGTGTATGTGTGTGTGTGTGTCTTATGTGTGGTGTGACTGTCAGACATACAGCACACACACACACACACACACACACACACACACACACACACACACACACACTACTGTTCCCTCTTATGAATGACTCGTATGTATGTATGAATGAATGGTATGGTTAGGCATTGAATTTTATCTGTATGTGTGTGTGTGTGTGTGTCGACAACAACAACAAAAATGTTTGTTGCTGTCATACAGTACTACACACACCATACCAGTGCTGGCATTTCATATATTAAATATACTGTATATATCCCGTATGTACCGTATGTTTGTTTGAATTAGTGACTGACTGACTGACACTATCCCTCAAAAAAAAAAATTATTTTATGGCCACATGTGATGCCAACACCATATATAACTGTGTGTATGTGTGTGTGTGTTTGATAATATTAATTGTAATGATAATAATTATTATATATATATATATAATTTATATTTATATATTTAATTGATATATATATTACCCGCTATTACCCCCTCCCCCACTCAATATAGTAATACATATTTTTCGAAAAATGTATTTAATAAATATTTATATTAAAAACTATTTAACCATTTTATATGTGTAATGTATGTATATATACAGTATATTTATTGTTATATAAACAATATATATATATATATTTAGCAATCTTATATACATAATAATATAACTTTAACATGTGATACAGTACTACCAGTACTATATATATAGTAATATCATTACAATTAGAAATTATTATTATTATTAATATATATATACTGTACACATAGTATATAATATTGTATAATAATAACAATATTTATAATTTATAAATAAACAAATAATAAATTTCTAATAGTCTGATAGTGATTAAAAAAAATTGTATTTATGTATGTATTTATGTATGTATTTATGTATGTATTTGTGTGTATGTGTATGTGTATGTGTATGTGTATGTGTATGTGTATGTGTATGTGTATGTGTATGTGTATGTGTATGTGTATGTGTATGTGTATGTGTATGTGTATGTGTATGTGTATGTGTATGTGTATGTGTATGTGTATGTGTATGTGTATGTGTATGTGTATGTGTATGTGTATGTGTATGTGTATGTGTATGTGTATGTGTATGTGTATGTGTATGTGTATGTGTATGTGTATGTGTATGTGTATGTGTATGTGTATGTGTATGTGTATGTGTATGTGTATGTGTATGTATGTGTTTACTACACTATTAGTTATATGTTATATATTATATATTATTTGGCAATAGTATGCTACAAATAGAGCATAGATCCCGGCGCGCTCATCCCTGTGCTGCTTGTTGTGTGTATATGTGTGTGTAAATGCATGTCTATGTTATATACAGTACAGTACTGTATGTGTGTGTTTAGTATCTGTGTGTTTAATTCATTGATTTATGGCCTCAAATAAATTATACGCTTATATATATATATATATATATATATATCTTTATGTACATTATATCTGCACAATACATGGTTTAGTAAAAGTCAAGTAAAACAATAATTTAAATAATTAATTATATTTAATATAATTTTAAATGGTTTTCGTTTAATAATTCAAATAATTCAAATAATAATAGATTTTATGTAAATATTTCTCAAAATTTTTTTTTAAAAAAATTTTACTTTAAATTTCTGAGAGTCTGTGAAACAAATTTTTTTTTAATTTTATTATTATATTCAATGACTTTTATATTGTATTACTTATATTACTTAGAAAATAGCAAATCTATATCACATATACACATAATAATAATTTTCAATAGATTTTTTACCCAATAATACATATATATAAAGTATTTTCAATACACAAAAAAAAACTTATGTATTAGATAACACACACACACACACACACACACACACACACACACACATACATACATACATACATACATACATACATACATACATACATACATACATACATACATACATACATACATACACAATGTACTCATATAAACCTGAATTATTATCTCATTGTGTGTATGTGTGTGTGTGTTTGAGGTGTTAGGCAACACCTACCGGTATCCACCCATCCCTGTGCGCGCATCCAATGCCCGGCATCGGCGCTCAAAGTCATAGTCGCCTATTACTTGACTGACTGGGCTGTTAGGCTGAGCTGAGAGAGAGAGAGAGAAAAAAAGAGAGGAAAAGAGAGAGAGAGAGTAGGCTCGCCATCGGGAAAAAAGCACTGATAGATGATATATATATATATATAGATTGAGATATACAGTAGTGTCGGATAGAGAAGCCCATAATATATATATATGTTTACATTATATATATATATATTGTATTGTGTTTATATAGAAACTCTGGTATGTTATTATTATTATTATTATTTTTAATGTCTGTGCCTCAGTGATCATCATCATCAGCATCATCAACAACAACACAGCAGCATCACTACTATAGACCCAGTGTTGTTGGAAAATACACATATACGGCCGCTAAATACATTGTCTATGTGTGTGTGTGTGTGTCTGTATGTGCTAACTGTGCGCATATAATACTGTATTATACAGCATCTCAAACATCATCCCTATCTATCTATCTCTATCTCTCTCAACCCGTATAGACCATAGCATACGGTACCATACAAACCATACATACATACAATACTGTATATAACATCAACAACACGGCACGGCTCATCCCTACCATACTATTCCCATGTTATGTGTGTTGTTTTGTATATACTGTATGTATACTGCATCACCATCATCTGGTTAACTGACTGGTGTGTTATCTGGGAGTGTGTGAGTGAGTGAGTGAGTGAGAGAAAAGAAAGCTGGAGAAGCAAATCGCACCTACACTTTGTGCGAGTGTCTGTGTGTGTCTATGTATGTGCTAAGGCATTGATGAAAATTAAAATAACAATCAAAATGCTTTCATTATTATTATTACTATTATTATAATATAGTTATATCATTGTTGTTGTTATCTATATATATATATATATTGTGTGTTACAGTCAATTGTCTGGACACACATACATCCCGGAGCAAAAAACTAAGTGAAAATAATAATTATAATAATAATAATAATATGCATCCGTTTAACGGTACGGAACAAACTTACTATCCGTACGGCTACGCCAATGTCGGACACTTGTCGGCCAACAACAACATCTATAATACATCGCCAGCCGTCGGTACGATTGGCGGCGGCGGATCGGTCTCAGTGTCCACTGGTCACGCCGTTACGCCCTATACAATGTTGACCAGCGGCGGTGGTGGTGGTGGCGGTGGCGGCAAAGGCCTACGCTATACACCATACGGTGCACCCGTTCAATACGGTTCATCGGCTATGGCCCAATTTGGCCAGTCGTCGGGCATCGGCGGCGGCGGCGGCGGTGGCCTTATCGGTATTGGTGGCGGCTGTTCGTCAAGCAAAGAGATGGTCAAACCGCCCTACTCGTATATTGCCCTGATAACAATGGCCATACAGGGTACGCCCGAAAAAAAGGTTACCCTCAACGGTATCTATCAGTTTATAATGGATAAGTTTCCGTTTTATCGGGACAACAAACAGGGCTGGCAAAACTCCATACGCCATAACCTATCCCTTAATGAGTGTTTCATTAAGATAGCCCGCGATGATAAAAAACCGGGTAAAGGTAGCTATTGGACACTGGATCCCGATTCGTTGAATATGTTTGATAACGGAAGTTATTTGAGAAGGAGGCGTAGGTTCAAGAAAAAAGAGCCCAACAATAATAAGGATAGTAATAATAATAATAATAATAAAGATAATAATGTGTCGGTCAATGGTAAAGATAGGAGACAGCAGCAGCAGAGCACCGGTATTAAAGAGCACAACCATAATGGCAATAGTAGTCGACAACAACGTTTGACGACAACCACAACGGCCACGACTGACAATCATCAGCTCAACAGCAGCAGCAGCAGCAGCGGCGGCTCAAAGACCACGGCTACCATCGCTGATGAGGTGTCGACAATCAAAACAAATACCAGTGCTAACCATCATAATAATAATAAGGGCAGTGCTCGGTGTAGTAGTGGTAGTGGTAGTAGTAGTAGTGGTGGTGGTATATCATCACGATTGCAAACCACTACTAGTAGTAATAGTAACTTATATATGCCATCCACTAATCATCATCGGTCATCATCATCATCATCATCAATGGGAACTGTCATATCATTAGCCGCCAGCAATAGCAACATACCGGTGCTCAACAGCAACAGCAACAATAGCATACAGACCAGACTACTCAGTCAAATCATCCATAATAGCAATAATAATAATAGTGATAGTGTTGTTGTTAGCCATAGCCAACTGAATGGCTGTCCATCCATAATAGCCAACACCACCACCACTACCAGCAGTAGCCCTAATCTCAGCGCTGGTATGCTGTTATCTCAGCAGCAAAATAGCTACTGTAAAAAAGAGCCGTTAGATAAATGTGAACTAAGCTCATGTATGCAAAATACTATGATTCCTTCGTATCATCATTTCATTGACCTAAAGACCAGTAGTAGTAGTAGTCATTGTCATCAACAACAACAACAATATCCATCATCACTGCTACACTCTGGCATGACTGGCCTTACAGACAATGATACACTTGTGGTGGACTCAATGGACAATACTATTATCAACAACAACAACCCGTTTACAGTGGACGGCCTAATGACGGCCTGTCGTAACAATAGTTTATTATTGCGAAACAACTGTCTGTATAGTAGTTCGTGTTCGCCGCCGATCGACCAGATCTCTCATCTTCATCATCATCAGCAGCACAATCATCATCAAACATACTGTCCATCGCCTACTACCGATAATCATTACTCGCCGCCACTACAGCCGCCACCAACGCCAACACTGTCGATGATCGGCAGCGGCGTCGGCGGCAGTGGTGTCGTCATCGAAGACATCAGCGCTACGGCTATGATGAGTACCATTGGCGGCAATCTGACAGTCCAGGCCACGGCAACGGCCAGTCTAAGTGGCGGCGGCACCAGTAGCCACTTGGCCGCCGCCGCCGCCTACGATCTTCACCGTCAGCAACAACAACAACACCATCAGCACAACCACAACAATGGCTGGTATACTACTAGTACTACTACTAATACAAACAGTTTGTCACCCAATGATAATGATGTCGATGATCCTGACGATGACGATGATGATGATTGTGATACCTGTGCACAACAACAACAAACACATCAATTGTACGGCACCGGCACCGGCAGCTCATGTATGCGTGATGTGTACGACCTGTCCACACCTGGCCAGCAATCGGACACTACTACTACTACTACTACCAGTACTAATGCTAGCGTATCGTCGCCGCACTCATCGGCCTCGGCAGCCGCAGCCGCAGCCGCAGCCGCCGCCGATGGCTATCATCAATCGTCGACAACAGTTAGTCCGACAACAATTGTGGTCACTAGCAGTGGTGGTAGTGGTGGGGGTATGATGTCGGGTGGTAGCGGAGGACAGGTAGCATACTATGCTAATTGTAGCCGATTCTAGTCTATTATAATAATAATAATAATAATTTAATAATAATAATATTATTATTATTAGCTAATAAAATAATAATAAATTAAAAAAAAAAGATTTATTTCTCTCTCTATTATTATTATTATTATTAATATTATTTAATATCACTTTCAATAATTGCTATATAACTGTATGTATAACCTCTCTCTCTCTATATATATATATATATATATCTAAATGTATATATCATTATTACATTGAAAATAATTTTTTTATTATTATTAAATTAATATCATATATATATATA